GGGGGGCAGACGGCAGCCCTGGCTCGAGCCCGAGAACGCAGCGCTCGGGGCCTCCCGGGGATCTGTGTCTCCAGCGGCCGCGGCCCGAGCGCCGGTTTCTCGAAGGCCACGGCTGCGGTGGGCCGGTGTCCACCGGGGGAGGACGGCCCTTGGCTCACGGCCGGGCTCATGGCCACTCGCCCAGCGCCTCCCGGGGAACCCGGGCTGGACAGGGCTCGGCTGGGCCCTCTCCAGCCTGGCGCCCGCTCGCCGCTCGCTGGTGCTGTCGGCTGAGGCCCGGGGCGTGGAAGGCGGGGCCGGGGGCCTGCATGGCCCCTCTGGTCCTGGCCGGGGCCACCGGGTATCTGCCGGAGGGGAGCGCCCACGCTCACTTTTCTCTGGCTTCTTGGGGATTTCTTGGAGCCGAAAGCCTTCTGGTCGTTTGTGCCTCAAAACACAGACCCAAACGACACCAGAGAATAGCCCAACCCAGCGGGCCCCGCCACCCGCCACGGCTTACTGTCCACGACCCTCAGAGGCCCCGCGACTGGCTCCAGGACCCCAGCTGCCAAGCGCCACCTGCATGCGCCCGCTCCCCCCAGCCGTCACCCCGAGGGGTGGGCAGCGACCCCTGCTCTGGCCGCGGCAGAGGCCACATCTGTGTCCCAGGCTCGGATGCCCGCTCCGGTCTCGAAACCACCTTCTGTGCGGGACCTAGCGAGGGTGTGGGCATCGCCACGGGGGGCCAGAGCTGGCCAGGACACGTGCGGCCAGCCCTGGGCGGGGCGCTGGCACCCGGCGTGTCTGAGGAAATAGTGACCCTGAGCTCAGGGCTGAGGTGGGGGCTCAGCTGCGTTCCCGCCAGGGGACAGTCCAGCAAAGGTCAGAGAGAACCATCGGCGTGAGGGAGAAGGCGGGGCAGGGCCACGGAGGCGTCTGGAGCGGGCCAGCACACGCAGGCCACGATCCCAGTGCGGGGGAGCCGGACCGTGGGGTGTGGCCTTGTGAGAGGTCTGTGGGGAGCAGCGAGGGTCAGCACCCAGCCGGGACCCTCTCCTGCTGCCACATGGGCGGCTGTGCAGAAGGAGACCAGGGTCCACCGGCAGCACGGAGCGGGGGGCCAAACTGACTTGGGGGAGGGAGCAGAGTGCGCATGGGGGGCCCACTGTTCAAAGGGGTGAGCGCCGCCTCCTCTCTGTGAGGTTAAGTGCTGGAAACAACGGGGACAACCAGGCTGGCCGCCACAGTGCGTCCACTCCCGGCGGCCGCCCACCAGCTGTACCCCCTGGACGGGGGCAGGGGGCAGAGGGCGCTCCCAGACAGAGGGTGGGCCTGACCTGCCCACGGCTCCCCCGCGGGCCTGCAGCCGGCACCCCAACCCAGCAGTAGCCTCACTCACCGTTTCGTGGCTGCCCACGGTACGTGGGAGGTGACCCGGGAAACTGACCACGCGACCCACCCCAAAGCCACAGCAAGGTGCGCGCACCTCCCCACCTGTCCTCCAAGGTGAGCAGCCCTGTTACCGAAGCCACGCCGTCGGGCGTGATGCGAGGCAGTGCCGTCACCCCGAAATAGAGCAGCTCTCTGGGAAGAGCCTCAGATGGGACGTGGCGATGTAGGTTACAGCTACCTGGGCCGGCCTCCCGGCTCATTAAAAATAAAACACCCGCGAGCTCCCCTCCCCGCACCCCTCTCCCCCTGGCTGCCGCTGCCCAGTGAGCCGGACCGGCCACCGGGGTGGGGGTGCGGGCTGCTCCCCACGGCTCCGCTGCCTGTTTACAGGGAGGTCCTCTAAGGTGCGTGGGAGGCACCGTCTGCCAGGAGGGTCTCTGCGGTCAGCCCCACACTGGCCCTGCGAGGCCGGGCTCTGTCCCCGCAGGGCGGTCAGGCAGAGCGGCGGCCAGCGGGAAGCGGGCGGGAAGAGGAAGGGGCGGTGGCCGGCACGCAGGGCTCTCACTTCCCCCTGGAGCCGTGGGCGCCTCGGTGCCTGCTGACCCTGAGCGAAGACCCCACGCGGGTCCTCGCCACCGGGCAGCGAGCAGAGAACGTGCAGACCCTGCCCGGGGACCCCGAGTCCTGCCCTGAGCTAGGCGAGGCGCGCCAGCCTCACAGCCCGGCGCCCACACCACCCAGGGCACACCTGCCCCCCGCCCCCCCGGGGCCCAGCGGGGCCTCTCTGGAAGATCTTCGTGCCGGCTTGGGCATGACTTTCCCGCACATTTTGCAAAGGACGAGGTTTCCGGGCGCAAACGTGACTGCAAGGCAGCGCCGCAAGGGCCCGACCCGGGCGGTTCAGACCCAACGTGGGTTAACAGGTGCTGACACCTGGGCGCCTGCCCCAACCGGCCTGGCCCCTGCCACAGAGATGCGGTCCTTCGATGCGGTCCTTCCGCACTTTTAAAAGGACCTCGGGAGGCACCCCGCGGTGGACTCCGGCCGGCCGCCCGCCCCGCACCAGCACGCACCCCCCGAGATTCGGAGGGGTGAACCCCGAGTCAGGCCAAGGGTGCCCGACCCCCCCCCCCCCCGCCCCGAGAAAGCTGCTGTCCTCTGCTCTTAGGGGCGGGCCAGGCCCGCGAGAGGCAGCCGAGCCCCAGTGGGGGCGCCCCACCCCGGCCCTGGGGCGGGTGGGCGGCAGCCGGCCTGCTCCATCGTTATGTAATGCGCTGGCCGCGGGATGCTCCACAGTAACCTGTCTGGAGCGCGGACGAGCTGCCGGCAGCGCATGCGCAGACACCCGGCTGCGCTTTTTTTCCTCCAGCGCTCAAGGCAAGAGGTAACTGTCGGTCAACCCGCGAGCCCTGCTGACTTCAAACACAGGATGCTAAAAATGAAATTCAGGCGGGTGGGGGGCGGGGCGGCGCTGTGCCGTGGGCTCACCGGGCAGGAGGGAGCGGGATAGTAAACACAGATGACACCGGGGCTGGCCGGGCGGGCTGGGGCTGGCCGCGGCTGGCCGGAGGTGCTTGGGCCGCCTGCGATGGGGCGCACAGCGCCCAGCTCCCGGCCGGTGCCCGCAGGCACCCACCGAGGGCTGGGAAGGGGCGAGTCAGGGTGTTGTTGTTTGCTCCTGCGCAGGTGTGCCGCTGCCCCAGAGGCCTGTTGTGACCGCCCGGGTGGCCCCTGTCACCGTCCGCAGGGCAGCGGCCTGCAGGTGGTCCCGCTGAGGCACGGGCGCCCGGACAGCGCCCCAGGGGTCCCGCTGCAGGTGCGGGAAGCGGGCCTGCGGGTGGCTGCTCACCCCACCTGCCTCCCCTCGGCTCCGCACCCCCACCCCTTTCTGGGGCTGGCGAGCGGCTGTCCGGGAGCTCAGGGCGCAGACACCTCTTTGTTCCCCCAGGCCCTGCCCGCTGCAGCAGCTCCGGAGGGTGCAGAAGACATGCTGGCGCCCAGGCCGGCCGCATGCCAGAGAAGAGGACCCCTTTCTGCGGGCCGCCGCCGCCCCTCCCAGCGCGCTCCCCAGGGTCCCAGGCCTGTGCGCCCCGGCGCGAGGCGATGGGTCAGGGCCGCCGTCCTCTTGCGCGAGCCCGGCCTCCCGCCCCCTCCCGGCCCCTCCGCCTGCGCGAGTCCGTCCCGGTGCAAGGAGCAGGCAGGTGGCCCGCGCGGAGCGGCGGCTGGAGCCGGCCCCTCCCGGGCCGCCGGGCGGTGTCCAGACCGGCGAGGGGCTTTGTGCGTCCCTGCCCTCCTGGAAGAGAACGCCGAGCC